TCTCTGCTCTCCCCAGGACCTGGACGAGGCCTACCAGGACGCGGCCAGCAACGTGCTCGTGGCCATCTGCAAGCACGCGTGGCGGGCTGTGGCCTCGCGCCTGGAGGCCGAGCTCCTGACGGGCGTCTTCCCGCACCGCAGCTTCCTCTACGTGATGGGCGTCCTGTCCTCCAGCGGTGCGTGCTGCCCCGGGGCACCCGCAGCCCGCCCCTCCCGGGCCCGCGCCCGGTCCCGGCTGCCCACACTCGTCCCGGCGCTGGGACCGGACAGGAGCAGTGGCAGCGAGGTTCCAGGGTGGTGGTGGCCGGGGCGTAGGGGGGGTGGCCTCCAGACCACCGTGAGGCCGGGGGCCTCGCCCACCTCCCTCAGAGCCAGGATGGCCAGAGGTGTCCACTGTGACCCTGACTCAGCCAGTATCCGAGGGGCGGTGGGTTGGGGCCCAGGGTCAGTGCTGGCCATGGAAATGAGCCGGCCCCGGGACCCGCTCTCCTCGGCAGACCAGTTCTCCAGCCAGGACGAGAAGGTGTGCTGGGACCAGCAGCTGCTGAAGGTAGGGCGTGCTGGGGTGGCGGACGGGCACCCTCAGCCCTGGGAAGCCGGGCGAGGAGAGAGGAGCCCCTCTTTACAGTCGAGCAGGCGTGGGCGTTGGGTTTGGACCTGGGTGCCCAGATGCACAGACGAAGCGTCCATCACACGCAAGGCCCCTCCCACCCGCCCGGGGCCAGCTCGGACCTCAGAGGCCATGGAGAACCGGAGGACCAGAGACCGGGGGAAGGAGGCAGGTCGGGGAGCCAGTGCGTCTGCGCCCACAGGTGAGGGCCCCGCGGGAAGGGCCCGCGCCTTGTTCGCGTCGACTCAGGAGTCACGGCTGCGCCCCTGGGGCGCCCCCTGGACCCGCTCCGCACCTGCCCAGCCTGAACGTCTCTGCTCGGCTGCCTGCTGCGAGGTCACAGGAAGTGGCCGCACCCGCGCGTGGCCAGGCGCCGGGGCAGCCGTGGGC